TGACAACCTTTTTTGTTTTTAATTTATTTTAATGGGAGGCCGATTACTTTACAATATTGTGATGGTTTTTTTGCCATACATCAACATGAATTGGCCATTGCCATACATGTGTCCCCTCCCTCCTGAAGCCCCTCCCATCCCATCCCTTGAGGTCGTTACAGAGCACTGACAGCCTTTTAACATCATTACCTTTCAAGCATGCAAATATTTACTCCTGAGCGGTTGGTAGGTGCTACAGAGAGTAGACTTTCTTCAAGGGTGCCCCTGTGATCTCCTGGTGAGCAATGCAATGGTGCTTCCTTATTTACGTCTTTTTGAACATCTCTGTACAGTTTTACATGTATCTTTGTCTACTGCAGAATTGTTATAAGTTGAATTACTTTTGATTCTGTAGGTGCTTCGAAGTTGTTGGCTTTCAGTATAACTTTGAGTCCCTGTTTTCTTTCTTTTCGGCCATGCCACACAGCATATGGGATCTTGGTTCCCCAACCAGGGATCAAGCCTATGCCTCTGGCAGTGGAAGTGCAGAGTCCTAACCACTGGACTACCTGAGTCTCTGTTTCCTTACTGGCTACTAGATAGGTTTTACTTCAATAATGATTGTTATATTTGACTGTGCTGGAGGAAATTTGACATTTTCTGTACCAAAAGGCAGGCAAAAAAAAAGTATTCTCCTTACTAGAATTTATGGTCAGTTTGTTTATGAGAAAGGGGGCAAGAATATACAATAGAGAAAAGACAGTCGCTTCAATAAGTGGTGCTGGGAAAACTGGACAGCTCTGTGTAAAAGAATGAAAATAGAACATTCTCTAACACCATATACAAAAATTTAAAAATTGGATTGAAGACCTGAATGTAAGACCATAAAACTCCTAGAAGAAAACATAGGCAGAACACTGTTTGACACATGTGGCATCTAAAATATAACACAAATGAACTTATCAATGTATAAAACAGAAACAGACTCATAGACATAGAGAACAGGCTTGAGGTTGCCAAGGGGGAGAGGGGGTGGAGAGGTATGGATTGGGAGTGTGGGATTAGCAGATACAAACTATTATTCAGAATGGATAAACCATAAGGCCCCTGGTCGGGGAGCTAAGGTCCCACACGCCTGCTGATGCTCAGTCTCTTCAGCCCGACTCTGTGCGACCCTGTGGACGGTAGCCGGCCAGGCTCCTTTGTCCGTGGGGATTCCCCAGGCAAGAGTACTCGAATGGGCTGCTGTGCCCTCCTCCAGGGGATCTTCCCAACTCAGGGATCAAACCCCAGTCTCCCGCATTGCAGGCGGATTCTTTACCATCTGAGCCACCAGGNTCGAATGGGCTGCTGTGCCCTCCTCCAGGGGATCTTCCCAACTCAGGGATCAAACCCCAGTCTCCCGCATTGCAGGCGGATTCTTTACCATCTGAGCCACCAGGGAAGCCCCCAGCATGCCGAGGAGCAACTAAGCCCCAGCACCGCAAGAAGAGGTCGACAAGTCGCAACACAGTCAGATTTTTAAAAACAGTGTACAGTTTCTGTAAGGGTATTACAAACCACCTAAACACCTATTACTGGGTGTTACTGTATGTCTATAGTTGTGTATATGTGTGTATTTATGTCTAACTCTTGAGATACTGTGATTTGGAATAATGAAATATGTATTTGGTCTTCATTCCATTTCTGGCACAGAGCTCTTAAAACTCGTGGAATTTCCTAAGTGATAAGAGGTGTTTGATATCTATATTTTTTATATTTACAACAAATCTCTTTCAGCCACACCTGAGTTTGTGTTAAATGAGATGATTTTTGGAAAGCTCCTAAGGATGGGGGCTGATTGCCAGGGGAAGCAACCAGGTGATAAGAGAGTTGGAACTTTTAACCTTACCTGCCGATTTCTGGAAAGGGAAGGGGACTCCACATTAAACTCTATAAAAACTCTTGAACAGAATTGATCATCTACGTTGGTGAGCCAAAGCACATCGAATTGCTGGGGGTGGATGCACTTCAAATTCCAGGGAGACAGAGGTTCCTGTAATTAAGACCCTTCTGGACTTTGCCTTGTGTATCTCTTTATCTGACTCTTCAATCGTATCCTTTAGTAACTTTATAATAAACTAAAGTGAACTTTGTAGTAAATCTAGAACCTTCTCACAGAGGCCTCCCATGGTCACTCTGCCTAAAATTTCCAACATCCTTGCCCTGGTTACATTTCATCTTCCTTCCCTGCTTTGATTTTTCTTCTTTGTACTTATCACTGTCTAATATGCTACATTTTAAAATTTAATTTAAAAAGATTCTTCATTAGCATATGAGCTAGAGAACAGGGAATTTTGTCTGTTCTGTGCACTCCTGTGTTGAATGGCCTATCTGATTTGCATATTCTTGAAATCATATTTATTTTAATACATAAGAATGTAGGTGTTACCTTCCCACACAAATATGGTTGAAGTTAGCATACCAGAAACATTTGTAACTCATCAGTAGAGTGTATTATTTCTTGCCTAAGATTACTAGATCCAATTACAGGGGTAAAAAAATTTTTTTTTCTGGAGTTTCCCTTATATAAACTATTTCTTTGTGAATTGATTGCAAGTCAGGCATGTAATTCAGATGGAGAATTAAAGTGTCTGGTTCTACGTGTAAATCCATGGCTGATACGTGTCAATGTATGGCAAAAACCACTACAATATTGTAAAGTAATTAGCCTTCAACTAATAAAAATAAATGAGAAAAAAAAGTGTCTGGTTCTGGAGAGAGTTAGGAGAGCCATTAGGAGAAGCAGAAAGTGTGTGCTTAAAAGGCCCGTATTTGTAATGTGTTGACGTGGAAATATGGAAAGACTACATATTGTTAAAAAGGCATGGAAAAAGGACAGCCTCCCTTCCTTTCATGTGGAGACTGACGAGTCTGTCGGGAATTGTTGGGGTGGGTTTGTAGCGGCTCCCTGCACCCCCATTTACCTGCTTTGTGCAGGTTTGCGTGGTTGGTGCCTTGGGAGTGGAGGGAGGTGGGCTGGCCCCTGCGCTCCGAGAGCTCAGGAGGCAGAGAGGTGCGTAGTGGCAGGTATAAAAGATGGGATGCAACTGCAGACCAAGCTTTCCTGGGGAAGGGTGGGATCAGTCATGTCTGGCGGGGAGAAGCAACATCAGGGAGGGCAGGGGAAGGAGTGAGCTGATTAAGGCACAAGTGGGACCCCTGGAGGAAAAGAAGGGCCCCAGAGTAGCCTGGGCCTTCTGTTCTCCCCACACTTCAGTTATCTGGGGATCTTGTCAAAAAGCAGATTCTGACTCTGGGGGTCAAGGAGGGGAGGCAGAGAGTCTGCGTTTTCATCTGTAACGAGCTCCCTGGTGATGCTGATGTTGCTGTTCTTGAGGACAGGCCTGGGACCACAGAGCTGCCTGCCCGTTCTTCCTCCACCTTGGAGGCGGAGGTCAGCCTGGAAGCTTTGGCATAGGCTTGACAGTTGGTAGGTAGGTGGTGAGGAGCTGGGTTACCGAAGTATAGGATACAGGCCAGGAGCCCAAGGCTGGTCTGGTTTTAGGTGTAAGACCACGTGACTTTTCCTTGATCACAGGGCCATTAAACTCAGTCCCTGGGCCTCCTCCTGTTCCCAAAATCTCACTTTAAAAGTTGACCTGGTGATTTTCATTGACGCCTGTTTGCCTTCACGATCTCTGATCTCTTAGTACGTATTGCTAGAGTGTTACTTCGGTCCTTCAGAAAGATGTTTCTAATGTTGGTAGGTTTTAAATGTTTTTATAAACTTCCCAGGCTGTCTCTTCATGATCAAATCCAACGATAAACTTAAAAAAAATTTATTTGGCTGCATCAGGCCTTAGCTGTGGCATGCAGGATCTTTGTGGCAACATACAAGATCTTTCGTTGCAGCATTCCGGCTCTCAAGTTGTGGCCCTCGGGCTTAGTTGCCCCAAGGCACATGGGATCTTAGTTTCCCGACCAGGGGATGAGCTTGCATCCCCCACATTGCAAGGTAGAGTCATTCATCCATTTAGCGGTGCTGAGTCTTAGTTGTGGCACAGATGGTTGTAGTTGCATCATGTGGATTCTCGGTCGGGAACCCCGACTCTCTAGTTGTGGTGCTCAGGCTTAATTGCTCTGCAGCAAATGGGATCTTAGTTCCCCAACCAAGGATTGAACCCTCGTCCCCAGCATTGCACGGCAGATTCTTCACCGCTGGACCGCCAGGCAGGTCCCTCCAATGATAAACATTTTAAAAAGCACGGCTCATAAATTAATTATAGTTGTTGTTCAGGCACCAGGTCGTGTCCAACTCTTTGTGACCCCATGGACTACAGCACGCCAGGCCTCCCTGTCCCTCACTATCTCCCAGAGTTTGCTCAAGCTCATGTCCATTGAGTTAGTGATGCTATACAACCATCTCATCCTCTGCCGCCGATTTCTCCTTTCACACGTGATTTAATTAGGTGGGCCTTATTTGGAGGTAGGACTTCTAAATGGAGGGGTTATACAAGTCCTTCTAAAGCCATCTCAGTCAGCCTCACTGTCAGACCTCACACAGGTCTCAGTCAGCCTGTGTGACATCAGCTGAACCAGCAAGGGTAGTTGCAAATATCTTAACACAGACACCCCCAGGACCCTGCCCTGTTAATGTTTGATATCACCCTGATAGAGACTGTGAGTGAGAAATGCGCGTAGGTGGTGTCCGCTCACTGGTGGCAGAGGCAGAACTAAAAACACTCTGAGCCTGTTCCTCTCTGCTTCCTCCTGGGGGGCTGCACTGGTGTCAGCATCCTGTGGTGGCATGGTTGTTCACATGAGGAATTTGATCTTTTCATTAAGGCCTCTGTACCTATTCTTATGTAAGAATTGAATCAGGTCACTTTCCTGTCCCTGATACTGCTGTCCCCAGGGGAAAACTCCATGGTTGTTATGTGGTGGTGGCGGTTGAATTTTATTTAAAGGCGGCAGGCACGTGTGTCTACCGACGTGTGCTAACCATACACATACATGTGTTTTTGCAATTTTCTTCCCAGATCTTGGCCCTGATCGCATTCATCTGCATAGAGACTATCATGGAATGCTCCCCGTGTGAAGGCCTCTACTTTTTTGAGTTTGTGAGCTGCAGTGCGTTTGTGGTGACCGGAGTCTTGCTGATTCTGTTCAGTCTCAACCTTCACATGAGAATTCCCCAGATCAACTGGAACCTGACGGTGAGTAAAAGTCATGTTCTCTGACTAGGAAAGGATCAAGTGCTCCACGGCTCCCGGGAAAATCGGGAATCATTCTATGACATGTTTGGTTCCGGTTCATTTTGATACATAAATATTTCCTTGTAATGCAACTGTGAAATTTTAAATTTCCTTCCTGGGTTGAATAACATAACTACAGAATTAATAGGACCTTCACTAATGACAGAAACTTAACGATTATTCTGACTTCTTTAAAGATGTCATTTTGATTTGCGGATCCTTTGAGACGATTGGTAACGTTGATATTTATAGAATATGGGAAAGAGAGCATGGAATGAATACATTTGCAGATTTTCACACTGGACCTGAAAGCCGTTTGCAAAAGTACTGATTCGGGAAGAGCTGAAAATATGAATGAAATTGCCATTAACTTGTGAAACCTAGGAATATTATTATTATTAAATTCAAAGCAGCTGGGAGGTCCCAGAGGGTTTGCTGGGTTGATCAGCAAGTCTTGAGGAAATGTGTCCTTTTCTCTCCATGGTTTGGGGCTCTTAACTCTGACAGCCTTACTCTCTGATCAGCACGGGATCAGAGCCGGTCACTCCCAGGCCTCCTTTCCTGGACTTGTGTTACTTGTCCCTACTGTGCCAAGTGGAAGAGTGAACTTAACAGCACTTTGTTTTCTTGATATTTCTTTGCAAATAAGCATGTGCAGGAGCTTAAAGAGAACCAGTTAGGGAGACACAGCCTGGCCCCATCAGCTGCCTTGGATTGGGGGGGAGGGGCTCTGAGACCACTTGCCCGCACATGGGCTCCTCTGCTGCTGGCCGGTGCAGCACTGTGGAGAGCGTGGCCTGGAGTGCCGGAGCCCGGGGAGGCAGCCTGGCTGGTCACCTTGCCTGGCAGGGCCACGCCCATGGTGTTCCTATGGGGGAACCAAGAGGTGATCGTCTTCCTGACAGAGTGCTGCCTGCGTCATTCAGACCCTTTTAGGACGAAAAATAAAAGGAGAACTGGGCTAGAAAAGTTGTCCATTGAAAACTCAGTTGGTTTCGTCCTGACGTTGAAAAGGAAGAAATAAGCTCTAAAACCTCAAGATTTATTGGAGGCATTTCATCACAGTTCTTGGAGACAGGTTTTAGTGTCTCAGCTCTTTTGAAGATAAAGTCTGTGTTAAAGAAAATGCTTCCAGTGTTGTGATCTAAATTGACAGTGTAATGAACAGGTAGTAGGCAGTGCAAGAGTACCTCACAAACCTCCCCCAACCAGCATGCAGGCTCCGTGGGGGCAAGGTCATCGTCATGGGGCAAGGCACATTGGAAACCCAGACCCCTGGAGTGTCTAAGGCCAAAATAAATACTTTTGAGGGAGGCGCTGGGCTGGGCTGTGAATAAAACCACACTGGTTTTATCCTGTTTGACAAAGAAGCAGCTGCTAGGATGATTAAGACCCAGGGGCTTTGAGTCAGGCCGCCCTGTCTGTATTCAAGTCTGGGGTGGCTCTTAAGAGCTGTATATGACCCTGGGCTAGTAGTCACTTGGGCTAGAGCCCCCAAGTGGAGATGGTAGCATTTTTCTTGCAGGGTTGTTTTAAGAACGAAATGAGACAAGTGTGTACAAAGGTTCCAAACCAGTGGGCACTGCTGCCAGTATGAGAAATAGTAACTTTGCTGTGAGTCAGAGGCCATTGGTGTCTGTCAGCCACGTCATTCTCCTATAGACTTCACCAGCTTTGACTTCACACCCTGAATTCTGTCTTATCTACTTATTTGATAGCCATAAATCTGTTAGAAGACTTCCTACTTCACTCTATTGTATAACATAGGCAATTATAGCCATTGTCTTACAATAGCTTACAATAAGGGAGTAGAATCTGCAAAAATACTGAATCACTGTGCTGTACCCCTGAAACTAATATTGTAAATCAACTACACTTCCAATTTTTTTTTTTTTTTTAAGAAAGAATCACCAGGAATTCCCTGGCAGTCCACTAGTTAGGACTCTGCATTTTCACTGCTGTGGGCCCGGGTTCAATCCCTGGTTGAGGAACTAAGATCCCACCAGCTGTGTGGTGTGGCCAAAATAATAAATAAGCAGTTAATTTTAAAAGGACCCCTGATCCCAGATCACCATAACAACAAAAAAGACTTCAGGTTCTAATTAATTTGTTTAGGCCTTTATCTCCAGAAATACCTATTTGGTGAGCTTTCTTTTTTTTTTTTCTCCCACCCTGTCCCTCCGTCCTTCCATCCTTTTCCTACCACTGACCGCTGGGGTCTCCCCCTCCCCGGAGCTGGCACTCAGAGCCCTCCAGCCCTGGAAGCTCAGTCAGGCTTTGTAGAGGAGGGAGGTCTGCATATGTCTGCTCTAATTCTCTACATCCTGATCTCTCTTTTCTCTGCTTTTATTGTCAAATACAGCGTATTCAGAGAAATCTGTAGAAGTCAAAGTACAGTTTAGTGAAGAATGATAAAGACTATGTAGCCAGACCCCTGGGTCAAGAGTTAGGACAGTGTCAACACCCTCCAAGCCTCCCACGTATCTCTTCCAAACGCGGGGACTACCTCTTCCCCTCTACCATCCCCTCTCCCGACCCTCCATTCTTGAAGATGCTCTGGTCAGGATCACGGGGGGAATTGCTGAGCTCCCGGGTCCTCTGCTTACTTCCCAGTCCCGCACCCCCCACCAGTCGTTTCAGCCCTGGAGTACGCTCCGCTCACGCTCTATCCTGCCCCACTCTCTCCTCTTGCCTCTGATGATACCACAGTCTGTTTTTCTTCTTCCTCTGTGTTCCTTCTTAGATGGCCTTTGTGGCCTCTGCTCATCTCACGGGTGTCTCCTGACCTGAGAACCCAGGCTGGGTGCTGTGGTGAGTTGAGAACAGTCTGGAGTCACCCAGAGGGGCCACCTGCAGAGCCCTGAGGCTTCGCTGTGTCTCACTGTGTGGTGTTTTCTGACACTACTTTTGGCACCAAATATATGAGTTGTTGTTGTTTTTTTTTCCCTACACCAAATCTGTGTAGTTTTTCCACACTGAGTAATTCTCTAAGACCAACTGTGCTGTGCTTAGTCGCCCAGTCGTGTCCGACTCTTTCGACCCCATGGACAGTAGCCCACCAGGCTCCTCTGTCCATGGGGATTCTCTTGGGTATTCAGCAATTCAATTTAGTTCTGACAGTAACTCCTGGAGTTAATGCAGACCCCACAGGTTAAAGGGCAACTAAGGGCACTCAGGAAATGTTAAGGAATCTGGGACACAGACCAAATATATATTTTTCATTATGCCAAACTCATCTTTTCTAGAACTCAGCTTCCTCAAGGCCCTTCATTAGAGGTGTCTTGGATCCTAATTTGGTTAGGACTCAGTGAGACACTGGGAGTTGTATGGTTGGCACAGTAGGCTCTCTATAGATGGTAGCTGCCCCTGAAACCATAGGGTGGCGTTTCAGGGGGCTCCAAAGGGGCTTCCCTGGTAGCTCAGAAGGTAAAGAATCTGCCTGCAGTGCAGGAGACCTGGGTTTGATCCCTGGGTCGGGAAGATCCCCTGGAGAAGGAAATGGCAACCTGCTCCAGTATTCTTGGCTAGAGAATCCCATGAACAGAGGAGCCTGGTCCTACATGGTCCTACATGGACTGGGCTACAGTCCATGGGATCGCAGGAGTCGGACACAACTTAGTGACTAAACCATTCCACAGAGGAGTTCTTGTCCTTTATGTCTCAGTGCAAAAAGAATTTAGCGAGAGGCAAAGTGATAGATAAGAAGTGATTTATTAGAATAGGATGCTTGTGAGGCTTATAAGCAGCTGGGTGAGAGGGCTACAGTTTTATAATCAAAGAAAAAGTGGGGAGAGTAAAAAGACCACTTCTTTTTCCTCATTTTTTTTTTTTTTAAGTAGATGTCATGCCTCTATCATCAGCTCCTCCTCCAGGTTGAGTGGGGGACTTTTTTTGTCCCTACCTAATTAAGCCAAGATGGTCATGGCACTGTGAAAATGTTATTTTAGGTCTCAGTACAATGAGGGTCTTTACTTTGAAATGTCACCTTTCCATAAATTATTGCTTTTAATGTGTGCAAAGAGCGTGTCCTAGGGGCCGTTAACTTACTGAGCTCACTGGGCAGGATGTGGGTCCCATGCCACCGTTGTTTTATTGTCTGGGGGCATGTCTCGTGCTTTCGCTGCACGGTTTTGTTGCTCAGGAAGCCTGCTTGGTTTTGTAGTTAAGCAAACCTTTTTTCTTTTTTTTTTAAACCCGTTTTCTTAAGTGATTATTAACTTCTAGAGGTCTCCCATATTTTTTTTCACTTACAATCCCTTAGTGGGATCAGCTATTTAATTACCTACCTTGTCCCTTTACTGTGTCTCTCTCTCTGTCATCAGTACTATGATCGATCTCATGGTACTGCGGCTGTCAGGGCTCAGTATGGGCTGAAGGGGTGTAAGCCTCCTCTCTCATGGGTGTGTAGAACTGACTCCAGCCAGTCACAGAGCCCAGTGGTGTTGAACACCTGTCTGGGGCCAGGCTTTGGGAACTGAAAGCAAGCCCAGGGTAGATGCTAGCTGCTCTTCCGTGGTATGTATGCTGTGTGCGATGTAGTTTTGTGTGAGGTCTGGGAGAACACAGTGGGTTCCTCAGGGGAGGGGGCCTGGAACAGGTCAATCGGGGAAATTCAGAGGAAATGCCAGATTCCAGTTGAGCCTCAAGGGATGAATAGGTGCTTGCTGGGCACAGGGTATGGAAGGGTGGGGCATATTGTAGGAGGTCCCATTCTCTGGGACTGGAGTAGGATCGTGGACTCAGGGCCCTGGGGGGCTGGGTATGTGATGGAAATGGGCAAGTGAGGAGATGGGCCAGCGGTCTGTGAGACCCAGAGGTTGTTCTCCTACTAAGTCCCAGCCAGTTGTGTTACATCACGGGACTTTTAAGGGCAATTTTTCAGGAGCAGCTGAAAGTTGGATTTTTTTTTTTTTTAATTTTTGGTTTCACTGGGTCTTCATGGCAGTGTGAGGACTTTCTCTAGTTGTGGCACAGGCTCAGCAGTTGTGATGCATGGGCTTAATTGCCCCACAGCCAGCATATGGGATGTTAGTTCCTACACCAAGGATTGAACCCGAATCCCCTGCATTGGGAGGTAGGTTATTAACCACCAGGGAAGCCCCTGGATTATTTTTTCTTTTAAAGAATTTCTTATTTATATGAAATGTCCAGGATAAGCAAATCCTTAGAGACAGAAAACTGATTGGTAGTTGCCTAGGATTCAGGGAAAGAATGAAGAATTAACTGCTAATGAGGTTTGTTTTGGAAGTGCTAAAAATGTTCTAAAATTAGATTGTGGTGAATTATATCTCAATAAAGCTGTTATTAAAATCCTATGTGATAGCAGCCATCCAGGGGTAACCACTTAATACAGGGGTGTAATACTCTAGAATTCCCTAGACTGTCTTTCACAAGTAGATGTATGTTGTGATATGTGAATGCCAAAAAATGAAACCGTTAAAGTCAAACTTTCCCATTTGAACTATCTTGAGTGTCTTCCAGGTTAAATATAACTATATCATTAGTTTTGAGGACTGCATACTGTTCCAATTGGAAATACCATTTTACTTAACAAGTCCTTGATTCTTAAGTATTTTATCTTCAGTTTTTTGCTCTTTTAAATAACATGATGAACATCCTTATGCTTAGACCTTTTTGCAACTAGTATGCTAATTTAAGACGATTTAAGAAGTATGCGGAGTACATCATGAGAAACGCTGGGCTGGAAGAAGCACAAGCTGGAATCAAAATTGCCGGGAGAAGTATCAATAACCNCTGGCATGCTGCGATTCATGGGGTCGCAAAGAGTTGGATACGACTGAGCGACTGCACTGAACTGAACTAAAGAAGTATGCTGTTTAAGATTTCCAAATGTGGAATTCATAGACAAATAACATGCACATCTTCAGAGGAGATTGGGCATATTCAGGGTGGTATAGCTGTAGACACATGAACCTCTTCAAAATCTCAGCATTTTATCATAAAACATTTCCCCCTGTTTCTGAGTAGCCTTTGGTTTAGGAAGTGTCTTTATCCCTGCAGCTCCTTACCCAGAGTTGGGTGTAACTAAATGCGTCCAGGTTTAACTTTGTGAAACATTTGTCCTGGCTTCACGCTGGTCACCACTGAAAACTGCCCTGCTGGTAGACCTCTCTGGGTAGAGTTTGTAGTTGTTCTTCACTGCTGTCCATGAGCAGGGACAGAGGTGCTGGCCAGAAGTGTGGCAGGAGCTGCTACAGGGCTCAGGACTGTTAGGAGGTGAATGTTGCCTTTTGCCATCTTTAAGAAGGAGATGGCCCCCAAAGCCAGGCCAGCCGGCAGGACCCACCTGGTATTGATGATACAGTCGAGCTAGCACCTAAGCAGTGTAGGGTTTTGCCTGGTTTTTCTTTTGCTGTAGAGATCATAGAGGTGCTCTGGTATGACCGAAGCTGTGGGGGCCTAATACACAAGCGGAAATACCAGAAGTAACAATAAACATGCAGGGAACCCTAAGTGTGGACTAGGCACACGCTTGGCTTTTCATGTACGCTGTTCCACCCAGTGCTTGAAACAACTCCGGAGGGGTGGGAGGCTGTGCCCACATATGACACGAGAGGCAAAGTGGCCCATCCACAGGACCCTCGTCTGGGTGTTTCTATGAATCACTGGGTGCTGTATTCCCCTGCACAAGTAAGACAGGAACTAAATCTTTGAAGCGTTGGATTTGTAACCTGATTTGCTTTGCAAGGAGCTTAGGGGAAAGTCCTCTAGGCTTTAGCATCGTGGAGACTTGAGAGCCCACGCACAGGAAGAGAAGTGTGAGGCCTGGCTCAGTGTGTCCTCCAGGTCTGAGAGCTGTACTTTTTACATGTCACAAATGCATGAAGGGGTTTCACCAGTTTAACTCGTTTCTTGTCCATAGGAGGATTTGAACGTGTTTTGAAAAGAAGACAATAGAACTTTACCTGGTAATTAGTGAATGTGTCCTTGTGGGTTAGCAGTTTGGTTTCTATAATAGGTCATTAATAAATGGTAATTTAACATGGTGACTTCCTTGGTGGTCCAGTGGTTAAGGCTCTGAGCTTCCTCTGCAGGGGGCATGGGTTCAATACCTGGTCAGAAAAAATGATCCCCCATTTGACCTTGAGGCAAGGTCAGAAAAGAAGAAAGAAAGAAATGGTAACATGATGTGTTTGGTTAAAATGTGGATTTTTCTGTGGTGGTGTATCAAGCAGCATCATTAGCTATTAAATTAAAGAGGATTAATAGCATCCGCTTTGCCTTCCTCTGTGTGATCAATACCCCTGGGCCACCAAAACAAAAATAAGGAGCCATCAGAGAGGCTGGGTATTGTGCTTTTTATGTCAAAAGTTCTTCAGTGGTTTTTTCAGACAAAACCGACAATGATCCTTTTGCGACTTTATCTTATTCTTTAGGATTTGGTCAACACTGGACTCAGCACTTTCTTTTTCTTTATTGCTTCGATCGTACTGGCTGCTTTAAACCACAAAACCGGAGCAGAAATTGCTGCCGTGGTAAGTGAACTCAAGAGGTCAAAACAAGGCTGGTTCATACACTTTCTGTGCCTTGTTCCTCTGTCCCCTGGGCTTCTGTCCTACTGCTTTTCCTTTAGCTTCTCCTTTGCTAATGATGTCACTGGGCCAGCGGAGGCCCCAGTTCCTTCAGTGCTGTGATTCTTAAAGTGTGGTCCCTGCAACGGCAGCATCACCCGGGAGTTTGTTGGAGATGGCGTTCTCAGCCTTCCCCAGAGCTGCCGAATTGGCAGTGTGTTTTAACAAGCTCTCAGATGCACACTGTGGTTTGAGCACCTCTGTTTCAGTCTCTGTCCAGCGGAGCCCTGGATGCCTGAAAGGGCTGTTGCTTTTAAGGGCCTTCCCTGCCAGGGTGGGGTGTTCATGAAGAAGATGCAGTCTGGACACCACATGGCAGTCAGCATAGTAGAGGGTGAGGGCGGAGGATGGGACCAGGTAATGTAAGACTGTCTCTGTGCTCTGCCTTTCTTTATTGTTTGGTATTTACAAAGAATATGCAGCACTTTTATAACTGAGAGGATGGTTAAAAGGTTTAGTGAGAATACTAAACTATGAGCTCTCCAAGGTATCACTCAATAGGTTCATCAGTCATTATCTAATCATTAAAACACCACCACTTTTCACTCTCAAGCTGTCCCCCCAGAGCTGCCCACATGAGAGGCAGTGGGGCTGGGGGGCTAAGATATGGAATGCTGGGCCTTGTGGCTTGATTTGGGGTCACACTTGAGACTATGATTTTTCATCTACATGGTGTTTTGTCTACATGGTATTTCTCCCGGGGACCAGTGTCATGAAGGTCTGTAAAAGAGGCCCTTCTGTGATCTTTTTTTCCTTGTAGATCCAGAATACTTCGAAAGAGACCTGAGGCTGCCTTTCTGTGGGTCACACGACTATGAACTTGGCCAGGGTCTGACAGTTGGACATTTAGTGGGACTGGGTGTTGGCGTTACAGCCAGGAGAGGCTAATGCACCTTGCTCACTGTAAGCTGCCCAGGGGCCCTGCGGACTAACCCGGCTTGTGTCTTGTAGATATTCGGCTTCTTGGCAACAGCAGCCTACGCGGTGAACACGTTCCTGGCTGTGCAGAAGTGGAGGGTCAGCCTCCGGCAGCAGAGCGCCAACGACTACATCCGCGCCCGTACTGAGTCCAGAGATGTGGACAGCAGGCCCGAGATCCAGCGCCTGGACACGTGAGGACGCACTGGAGTCTTCTTCCCTCTGGTCCTCATGCCCGTCCTTTCAATCAAGTTTTTCTTTTCCTCATCACATCAGATTATCATGTGACTAAGTCGAATTTTGTCCTCCTTGGTAACAGTTCATTCTGGGAAAGGGCTTTCACGGTGGCCCTGATGGTGGCTGCAGGAGGCAGGGGACCCTGTGCCCAGCCTTGCACACAGAGGTGGTAGGAGGGGCCTCTCCCCCTCCCCCCCATCCTCTGGTTTGGTGGTCGTGGGAGCCAGTGTCCTCGCGGGCCGCCGTGTCCACTTCACTGTCCCTGAGCACAGGCTTTGAGGCTGACTCTGAGCCACCCCCACATGTGTATTCATGATGGGTCAGGACTTTGGATTAAATGGGGGCTGCTAGGAGAGGAAAAAACAAATATCAAGGAGTGAAACTTTATGGTTGGAACAGTGGGTTAGCAGTGATTTCTGGGCAACCCCCACAGAGGCCCTGGATGCGTTTTAGTCTTGCTGCCAGGATGCCCCTCTACCCATTGTTTTCCATGCCTGGGGGCACCGGGACCCCAGCACGAGCATGGGAAGCCAGGTGTGACACCAAGGGTCTCGGCGGTGGGTGTGCCCGCCGGGTGCTTTGCTGGCTCTGGGCTTCATGGAGGTGGGGGAGGCTGGCCGCCTCTTGGCTGGGCTCCAGGGGAGGTCACCATCTGTTTCCTACCCTGCTGAGACGTCCCTGGAATCATCTTACTGAATCCCAGAGGCTCCTCCAAGAAAACGGGGACCATCTTGTTTTCCAGTTTCCTACCTTCCCTGAATACGCTGAGGCTGGACTGCAGATTTTCTGTCATCTTACCTTCTCAGATAAAAGCCACAGAAGAAATACAGTCTGTTCCACCAGCCCGGACCCTTGCCCATTTGCTGGCCTCATGGACCACAGATGGGGGACACGCCTCTGTTTCAAGGGTGTGTCATGATTTTCAAGGCACGCCTGAGAAGAGTTCTAGAGTGAATTCTGAGTGGCTCCGTCTAGGATTTGAAAACTACTTGAATCTGCACCGCGACACCCCCTTTCACTGATGTTTCGGAGGGCGGCGACCCTGTACCTCAGGGTCATAACTATGAACATCTATCTTTGAGGCTGTCAGGGAACATTCTAGTTACATAAGGTGTTGTATGAATTCTTGATAAAGTGGAGATTATTGTGGTGACTAAGTTACACAAGCCCCTGCGATGCTGTAGTTTCTTGTTTTTTTTCTGTTGGAGACTAATTGTTCCTCTTACGGAAAATTTGTTTTTACGTGTCGGGTTTTCACTCTCTTAACTGTCCTTAATGTTTACAGACCTCTCTCTAGCTCTTATAAGTTTGTGTTTCGCCCTCACCAAGGAAAAGAACGCTCACTGCTGGTGGGAAGATTTTGCATTAATGAGGAGAGTCCCCAGGAGCTTGTGCTAGTGAGCGCTTACAGCTTCAGCAGCAGGCAGTGTCACGAGAGAGGGGGTCTGGGGGAGCAGAGCCTGTGTGAGGCTGGCATTGCCTTCTGCAGAGCGGAGCAGCGTACAGTTCCCTGCACCGGTGGCCTCGTCAGGAAGCACTGCTTGGCTGGGGACCCTGCAGGAAATGGTACTGTGCCGTCTCTGAAGGGTCGGGGTTAGGGCTCCCTGAACCGAACATCCTATACAACTCAAGTTCTGCTGAAGTTCCTTTCTGGGGCCATGACCCAGGCCACCTGGTCTGCTCAGAGAGCCAGCTTGTCTGGGGGTAAGTGACCTCCCACTGTCCCTGCCTAGGGCAGCCAGGCCTGGTCACGGTGGGTCTGACTGAGCCCTCTTCCCATGGATGTTGTGAGGCAGTACAAGCCAGGCTTCACAAACCTCATACCTGTTATGTATAGTGACTTTTGAGGAGATTATGACATCTGGATTTTATCTGTTCATTTTATATATTTATTTTGCATTTGTGGAGTGTATATGCTTCGTCAAAATGGGGCTTATTGCTCTCTGAGAATTCCATTTAAAAACAGGGTTACAAAGACTCAGCCTTGCATCAGATGGGGCCCACTTGGAAGGACCACCCTGAACTTTATCAGAAATCTCCCTCTGGGATTCATGTTACTTGGCCTCAATAAAAAGCTGCCTTTGAAGTGAGATTGGAAAAAAGAAGACTCTTCAGGCGAGGGTTGTTGCCCAAGTTTTTCCAAGTCACTTCAATACAACCAGTTTATCATCTGGTTGAAAGGAGCCTGTTGGTATCCTGAGGATGTGTTGTCAGCTGCAAGGAACAGTTCTGAAGCCCATTGAAGTTGTACACGCTGACAGATGATAAAAAGTGGTGACACCTTGTGCCATAGACCACTTAGGAATTAATTTACATCTTAGTGTTAGAGTCTTGGAATTATTTATGTCCCTGTAACTATTTAATGTCCTCTGTGCCATGAGGCTTTCCCATGGTTTTTGTAAATATATTTCTTTATATTTAATTAGCTCCCAGTATAGCCGAACGTGACCAGATATGCTGATTGGCGTACTGTAGAGTCATAAGTCTTGTCACGTGGTGAGAAGGAAGGAAGGAATATGGTTGTCTAGTATGAATGGAAAGACACTTGCATTTTCTTTATGTTGTTTCTGTGTACAAACAAGACAATCTAGATTTGGGGAGGCTTAAAAGGGCTTTTTTTTTTTTTTGCAAATTGAAATAAGCTTATTTCTGCATTTAATAGTTGTAATATGGACCAGTGTCAGTTTGGTTTAGGAAATTTTTAAGACTGAGGCAATCTTAGTGTTTTTTAATTTTCTGGTGGGATGATGTTGGCATTCACAGTTGATGCCCAACTTGTATATGTTTGAATTTGTTCTTGGAGACTGGATGGTTGAAACCCTCAAGCATTTGGTGGAACCTCTGGTGGTTTTAGATGGATGCAAACACTGACGTCTTCAGAGAAAGTTTATCCTGGCATCGATCTGGTTGATGTGGTATTTTTTCTTTTCTCTGATTCTCCTTTACCCTCCCTTCACATTGCCGAAGACATGGGAGGGGGGTGGGGTACATTAGCCCTTTCATACAGAGAGATTCCAGTCATGAGAGCCTAAAGATACTTGTCAGCTCTATATAAAGCTGGGGAAGGCACTGGCAGTTACAGATTAAAACCTCATAGCAGAAGTTCTATTTGAAGTAAAGGAAACAGATTTTCACCCTGCAGCAAGTCATTCAAGAGAGACTACCTTTGCCCACAGAAAGGCAAGAATGTTGACGCCTGCCCAGTCCCAATATCCATGTCTTCCTTGGCAGCTTGAACCAAAGTGCCAATATGGATGGAGCCCAGGCTGGCTGCAGGGAAGCTGGGGACCCAGTCTGGTTCTGGGGCCTTGGCTTTGGGAGGTGGATGTCAGCCCCTACCCTTTGGACACCATCACTGTCCCTTGGCTAAAGGCTCATTCCTGTGGGTAGGCATGGGGTGCATCTGACCCCACCCCATGTCAGAGGCTTCTTGAGAGAGCTTGGTGACTCAGTTGAAAACATTCCTAGTCTTTTAAAGTTTGCAGTTTCATTCGCCTTTCTTTGAGGCTTTCTGAGTGACTCAGTCTTGGGTTGAGCCACAGGCAGCCTCTGAGATTAAGCACTAACTCTGGTCTGCAAATGTATGTGAATTCCTGCTTGCAGAAAATGACCCTTGAATCCCCCCTCCATGTGTCATGTGTGTGGCCCAAGCTCACCTTTTCTCATAGACTCACCTGTGCTGTTTGGGAAGGAACCCCTAGCCTCTCCATGTGTTTAAGAGGTGGACCAAGTTCCTCATCTCAGGCTGTACAAGATTTTCTGTGGGCTGTTCCTAGAATCTGCCCTAACAGAGTGTGGAGGAAACACATGGCCACCTTAGTGATTCTGGGAGGCAGTGATGATGTAAGTGGGTCCCGGTATGCCACCCATGTTCCAAACAAAGCAACCATGAAGTCTTTGTGCCCAGGCCTGATAGTCATTTTCTCCACATGTGGTTTACAGGAAAATGTGATACTAAGCAGATAGCAAAAGGCAAAAACAACTCAGCTGAGGGCTGCTTCTAAATTGATTGTCTCAACCACATAAAAAATTGCTTCCTGCTCTAGTGACTGCCATTAGCAAGTGAGATCTCCAGACACGTTTCTAGCTCCTGGTGAAGTGTGCAGAACCCAGGGGCTCTTATTTCATCAGCACCCACTCCCAGGACCAGCTCAGTGACAGCTGATGAGGAGGGAGCCTGAGAGGTGAGCGGAGGGAGGAGGAGGCCCAGACCGTCTGCTGTGGGCCTGTCGAGCGTGCTGGAAATGGTTACCCAGCCAGGCTGTAGTTGGTTAACTACCTTCCTGTCCTCTTTGGAAAAGCAAGGTCTTGTATTCTGGCTCCACTTGAGAGCAGGAGCCGAATGTTGCGACCAGAGTGCCTGGGCACTGCTGGGCTCTTTGTGTGAGTTTGGGAACTCACAGGTGTGGACAGGTGATTCAGATTCTGATCTGGGGGCCCCCTTAGAGGGGACACAGACCTAACACCCCCTGCCTCGAGCCGTGTAAACCTTCCTGGCTCTTTGTAAAACCTCCCATTTCTTCTTTCCTCAGAAGATATAGCTGAAATTGTAACTGTCTGGTTGAGAAGGTAATTTGAAATCTTTGTGGCTCTTTACATTTATTTAGAAACTGTTTCTGCCCTCAATATCTGTTAGATCTAGAATAATTTTTTTTCTCAAAGTTTAATGTTTGTTTATCTTTAGCTTTTCTTCATACCAGTAAATGGCATTTATATACTTACAGGCTTGAAACTCCATTTTTTGGTTTAGATTATATTCTCATTTCATTTGGATGTAATTTCTCAGCCTTGGGGATTTATTTTTTCCTTTCTTGTTTTTATTATTCTATAAACATTAAAAAAAATTACCCACCAGCCCGCTGAGTCTAAATCAGTGGCAATTTGCCTAATGTTTAGTTTATGGATCCTTGAATCATGTATCTTTTTCACAGGGTTAGTTTGTTGTCTAGTTTTTATTCCAAGACTTCAGTCTGGGTGACTGCTATCTGGACACCCTGGCATGTCGTGTCTCCTTTGGGATGCATTCTGCACAGGGCCGAGAGCCTTCATGAAGGGGTTAATAGCCTGGACTCCAGTGAGCTACATCAGAACTTTCATTTAGAGTAGGACCTTGTCTCAAATGACCTTAATCAGCTTTGCTGGCAGGATTAGGGTGAGGCCTGAAGTTTCTTTTCACCATTGCGCCTCAGAAGAGAGAACGCGTGACACAATTGATTTGACGAGGATTCAGTAATAATCTGAAACTATCCAATTTGAGTCATCTTGGGAGGATGCTGCTGAAACCCAGTAGGAGGCACCCCTTTTATCAGGACAGCCACCCGAAGGAACGGTCAGGAAGCGAGGACGGCATGGGAGCCTGGTGCCCAGGCAGGCAGGGCCGCGTCTGGCTGCTTCCCTTTGTGGCCCATTTTGCTTTCCTGCCTTTTCCAGAATCGACTTCACAAGTTTCAGGACTTTGCTCTTCTCTCTGCAGATGTGAGGAAGGCAGATACTCGGGGCTTGGAGGGAAAACTGACTGGTCCAAAGCCTCCTGGGGGAGCTCAAGGGTGGGACGCAATGTGCACCGCCCCCGTCCCCCCAGGACTGGCCCAGGCCCAAGGCCTCACCCCGCTCCCAGCTCTTGTCACTCGTTTGAAAACGAGTTTTCAAACCCTGCCTCATGATGAAACTGACGTATGTGGATAAAACCCATGCTTTTTCTAAGCAATAAGAGAACGCCAGGGGGCGAAACTATTTGTATATGTTGAAATTTGTAGGGGTTCAGGAACCCGTGGCAAAAACACTTAGCTATTTATTACAAGTATGACTGTATTTTTTCCTGTTCCCAAAGTAGGTAATTATGTCTTTGTATATTTTAAGACAAATAATAATCACTTCACCTTCGGTGCCTTCTGTGTGTCAGTCACATAAACACTCCCGTCAATCATGGAATTGAAAAAGATGTACATTTGGTTAAACAAGATAACACTATTTTTGTAGCATGATTTTAGATTGTGTCCTTTTAATATTGCTTTCAGCAATGCTAGTTTTGAGGTTCGGACGTTTTCCCTTTAAAACTTCATTATGTATTTTAAAAAAGAAAAAAAAAATCCAACCCCTCAGCTTTCCCTGTCTCTTCTCTGCTGCTTTCTCCCCAACATCTCGTTTCTGCTTAAACAGTCTGAGAGTAAGAGTATATTTCTGTGAAATAGTTATTAATCAGTATAACTGCATTTGGCTTTTTTTTTTTTACTCACTTGCTACTTCTGAACAGCCACTGCTCACCTCAAATGGTAAGAGGAAAGTGGTTCCATAAGAACAGAACAGATCATTCTCGGTGCTCTGACTTCCCCTTCTTTGGGTCTGAAATGGTGACAAGCCCTTTCCCGGTTGCTGCCTGTCTTCCAGATCGCTCAGGCCATTCTCTTCCTTGGCCACCAGCTTCCCTCTGCCCGTGTGAGACGTCCTGGGGCAGGAGTGGGAGTAGGGATTCTGCTGGTCTCGGCTTCATCTTCCACTCAGATCTCTGATTGGTTCATGGATGCCCTGGATAGGTTCGATGGCCCTTTCTGGTTTCTGGCCCAAACATACTAGATTCCATGCTATGACGAACTTGATGAAGACACAGATGACCTTTTGCTTTCCCGCCCCTGCAGGACTGAGTAATGTCTGGTCAAGAGAAATCTTGAGGAAACTAGCTGAGCCCATTTAAAATGAAGGAATGGATTTATTGAAACATAAAATTTTTTTTTTCCTGCTTTGAAGGGTCAGACAGAATGTGTCATATTTTGTAACAAAGGAAGACGAGTCAGATGGCTGATAATTCCCATGTGACTACTCTGGTACTTGGCCCAGTGGTACTTGGGGGAGGGGCAATGTTAATTTAATAACTACTACACTTTGCTTCTTAAAAAGTCTATTTCCTTTAACAGTGTAGATGCAGCTGTGGGGTGAGCTGAAGTGATGTGTGTTCGGCAAACTTCAGTTTATGCTATTGGTTGGTCCGAGCTCCCATCCTGGCTTCTGAGGCTGGTGTGGGCACCACCCAGCTGCCACCAGCCCCAGATTTGACTATCCATTCAGAGTGGTTTGGGGGCCCCAGAGCCTTCGCTCCTGTTGGTTTATTCCTGACAGCCTACAGAGCCTCACACTGCCCTCAGTTTTCCCCCTTTATTTCTTTTGAAGGACCAATTTTTTCATGGTACTTGCCCTGATTGTTTTCATAGTGTTCAAATCTGTATTTTTGTATGTAGAGGGAAATAATTTTCTCAACACTAATCGCTAATAAATATTGTATTGTCATGAAGGAGTTCTTGTTTAATAAACGGACATGTAAAAACAGTATCTTCTCTTTCTTCACTCTGCCTTGCTCCTGCCCCTTCAAAGGCTGTGGCCCAGATCCTGAAACAGGCCTGTGAGTTGGGGGCCAAACAGCCACAGTGGGGGGTGAGGACACTTCGGTATTGCTGTCGACTGGTGGCTTGGCCAGGGCTGGCAAAGTGGAGCCACCCCTGGCAGCCCGTCGGCTTTTGCAGGTTCTACTTTCACACATATTTTCAGAACACATTACACATTGTGCGAAAAGCTGGGGCAGGGTGCCTTGATCTTTCCCATCACCGGGGCCAAGATGCTGACTCACTGTGGGACTGTTAACTTGATGCGAGCTGAGACCCCGGGCCTCTCGTGGAGACCTGAGCAACTCACCGAACCTTCCGTCAGATTCCTGGACTACGAGAAGATCATGTGAGGAGTAAAGAGCCCACACGAAGATGCCTGGCCGGGAGTAAGTGTGCGGGCATCGCTGCTGTAACCTGTAGACGCAGGATCCACGTGGTGTGTGGGACCACTCTGTGCTGATGCATCACACCTGACAGCGTTGCTCTGGATGTGTAAGGTTTTTATCAAACACACACACTCCAAGCAGGAAGTCAGTCTGGTTTAATCCATGATGGCTTTTTTCAGGATAGGAGATTCACATGCAAGAGAAGAAGAAAAGACTACAAATGCCCAAAACATGGGTCCAGAACTTTGGCTCATTCACAAGGTCTCTTGGGTCACAGGAAATGCCACTGAAGAAGCTGCTTTTGTGTTTAAAAAAAAAAAATCATACATAAAGTTACAAAATCCTACTGAAGATATATGCACAGCATAAGGTCCTTAGGTGAACACAGAAGGCACGTCTCACCCCTCATGTGGGTCAGGTGTCCAGAAGTACATTGTCCTGAGGGCCTGGGAGCCACTCACCTGCTGACGGCCCTGGGGAAAGAGAGGGCTGGGCTGGGCCTGCCCAGCTGCCCCAGGCGCTGTCGTTGCCACTTGTCACTTGGAGCCTTCAATCTTTTGGACCTGGTAAGCTAGTCTACGAGCTTTGCTTTGCAACAGTCATACACCCAGAATAGACCGGTCACCTGAAGTCATGGTCATGGTCTCCAAAAGTGTGAGGTGGGCAATGGGACCTACTCTCCCCTAGGTCACAGGATAAAGGCTAGTTTTCTCCCTGCTTCAAGAATGAAGAGGGAACTGGTGCTCCTTGAACAAAAGAATTTTTGGAAGGATCATTCTTGACAGTGCCTGGTGTGAGCAGGGGCCCCAGCCGCAGACGGAAACCACTGGGGCCCAGGGCTTGGCCCTGCGGCAGTCTTTATCTTGCTTCTCTCGCCCACACCCGCCACAGCATGAAGGGCCCCCTGTGATGGGGTAACAAGGCTCTATCTGCTCTGTCCCCATGCTTATTTTTGGCAGAGAGGTTAAAGGGCTTAAGGTTGTGGGGGCAGAAATGAGAAAGGGCGGAATATTCACAATGCCCTCACAGCAGAGAGGCTGGACAGTGCTAAGCCAAGGGGTGCCACTGTGAATATGGGGCTCAGGAATGTTGCCTGGGGCTGTAAGGAGGCCTGCTCCATCACCAGCTCCCACTGCTGCTCGAGAAATCACAGCTTCCCTGGCCACACTCTGGCCGGCCTGGTCAAAAGGTGCAGGAGTGGAGGCCTGCGTGGCTCAGGTGCCAGGGCAGGGCAGGTCTTCAGTCGGAGTCAGAGTCGGAATTCTCTTCTGAAAGGAAAGCAGAGAGGACGCTTGGCAGTAGTTCTGGGGCCAGTGGTACTGAGAGCCAACTCCAGGGAGGCGCTGTCGGCTGGACCCTGGGCTCAGGCCACAACAGCTGATGGTGTTGTCCGCCTGGTGTGGGGACTGTGAGTGCCTGGGACCCTCTAGGTTGCAGCAGAAGGAGGCGGGGAACCCAGATGCCCCTTCCTCTGGGGCCCCAGGCCCTCCCAAATCTGCCTGGCTGTTCTCACTGCAGGTGGCAGGCTTATATATCTGCGCTCTGTCCCCCCGCCTGCAGTAGGGCTGGCTGTTGTCCGAGAAACTAAAACATACTGGAAAAGCAGGAAGCTTGTTTTTAGCCATTTCAGTCTCCCCTGCCCCAGGAGTTTCAGTGTCACCTGCCTGGGACAGCAGGCCCTCAGTGGGAAGATGGCCCGTGAAAGCCCCCTTGTCTCTGTCCAGCCCCGTGTCACTGCTGATCCTCACAGGGCATGACCACCTGTTCCAGAGAAGCACCTCACCTGGACGGGGCACCTGCCCTTTACACTCTGTGGTCCTCACTCCCCCTGCCCCATTTATTTTGCCCGCACACTCCTACACATCTATCAAAACCCAGCTCTAGAGTCACCTCCACGGCCTTCGAGCTGGCCCGTAGGAGGGGCGCTCCCTCAGCTGCTTCATACCCCCTGTGAGCTCTCGTTTTTGCTGTTACAGTTGACGACGTCCACTTGGGTTCCTCCTGCTCCCTGTTTGTGCCGTGCGTGTACACCACCGCTCTGTCTCTGGGTCTGATTCCTGCCCTCTCAATCCCTGAGGGCAGGTAGTTAGCCTGCCCATCTGCACATCCCTAGGGCCCAGCACACGGCAGCCTCAGCAGGTGTTTGGGTCAACAGATGCTGACAGAAGGGCTGGGAGGGATCAGGGACACCAGGCTTGGGGGGAGGAGTTGTGCTGAGCCAAACATCCGATTTACTCACTTGCAGGGAGCTGGCATCTGTCTGTCCATTTAAAGCCTGCCTGGGAGTTTGGAGAGGGACAGGCAGGTGAACAGCTTGGGCCCTCCATCCCAGATCGGCTCCTGGGCTTCCCTGCATTTCTGTGTTGGAGCCTCCACTGCCTCTCCAGGTCCCGCCCCTCTGGGCAGGGACCTCTACCTCCTCTGATGGCCTCCCCGGGCAGGAAAGCCCCATGCCGTGGCTGAGGAAGCCCTGAGAGATCACAAGCTCCCAACTGGCTTGGTCCCTCTGGGCATGTTCCTCAAGGGCCCCCCTGTGCTGCACATGTACCCCAAGGATGTGACGTGTTGGTATGGGTGCTGTCGCGGATGGAAAAACCAGCCAGCCAGCTTGCAGGTTTCTTCTTTCTTTTTAAGTTAGGTAATGGCACAACAGCCATTCTGAGCTGAAGGATGGCTGGAGGTGGCCAGAAAGTCTGTGGCACTTTTTCCTGAATATAAAAAATATCCATCCTTGGATAAAACAAGCCCAAGCTGCCCTGTACTTGCCTGGGTGCTGTGGATAAGAGCTTGGCTTGCTGGTCTTTAAGCTGGGGGGCAGGCAAGACTGGAGACTGGGGGGCTACTCTGGGACCGGTGGCCATTCTGCAGCCCAGTGGACAGCGTCCAGGAGTGGTCTCATGAGGCGAGGACATGCCGGGGTGCCCTCAGCATGCCCTTCCTGGAGAGGCTGAAGCCCCAGAGGGGACCAGTTTTATCCTCAGTGCCACATGAAGAGATATTAGAACCAGGCTGTGAACACACTTCCTGCCCGCGAGGAGAGAGGAAATGTTCTTACTCCAGCCTTAAACTAGCCAAGTGCCCCCAAGGGAGGGCAGGGTCCCCGCAGAGACCGTTCCAGGTGACGAGCCCGGTTAGCTGGTGGAACCCACAGGGTGGCCACTCACCTTCTGCCTTGTCAGCTGTGGTCTCGTGTGCAGAGTCCCCTTGTTTGAGGAATTTGGCCACGTCGTTAAAGATCAGGTAGAAGTCAATGGCAAACACGATGGTGGCAAAGAATCCAAACACCTGTGGGAGACAGGGGTGGGGCGGACGGCACATGTCAGCAGGAATGGGGAAGGCTGCTCCGGGCAGCTGCTGCCCCATTCCCATAGCTTGTCTTCATCTGCTTGGATAAGCAGCTCAGAAATGGTGAGCACAGACCCCTCCCGTTAATGACAGATAGGAAATCGAGCTGTTAATTTGGTTTGGCCAACAGCCTTTCCAAATTCTGGCCCAAGTAAGTCTTCAACCAGAGGACTGTGACGTTGCTGAGATCCACGATGAAAGGCCAAGGTACCTCGGCAGAAGTAGACTGTGCCCAAGGAGCTAGAAGGGGAACCCACTTAGGAGTGGGGTGAACGTGAGTGGGGAACCCCTCTTCCCAGAGGTTGGGGAGCAACTCACCCCGGCTGCTTTGGAAGCCCCATCTGGGTATTTGGCCACGGCTGTGATGGAGATGGCGAAATAGATGAGGGCCGCTGTGACACAGCGAAGGAAGTCCTGGGGAGACAGGGGTGCAGTCGCACGGCTGTGAGCTCCTGGCATGGGGCACACAGTATGGGAAGGCAGCCACAGGGAGCTGAGGCAGGGCAGAGGGGCTCAGAAGGGCAGTGTGTGCCAAGGACAGGGCTGGAATCCCACTGTCAGATCCGGGACATAGGCAGGGCCCCCAGACCAGCATCCATGCACTCCCCGTTCCAGGCCCCACCTGCACACCCTGGTCCTCCTCCAACTTCTACTCCTGCCCTGTCCAGGTGCTCCCTGCCTGCCCTTCTCTGACAGGTGGACAACAGGGTATGGACCAGGCTGCAGCCCACCCTGGGGCCTGGCCCAGATGCAGACTGCCCCATCTGGTGGGGAGGGAGAAGTTGGAAACCTTGTCACCCGCTCCCTCTGGCTCTCCAATAGCGAGGGCTGGTCACTGGCCTTGCTATGCCACATGCTTGTGGCAGTTTCATTTTTGTACCATGGTTTGCACCTACTGATCCCTAAAATGGAGACAGGGGAGAAAGCTGGAGACCAGGGTTCAAGTGTTTCAAGTGTACCTTTGCTGTCCCTTCTCACTCATTTCATACAGCAAAGTCCAGGGAGGGTTTCTGGGCCTTCCCAGGTGATAAAATGAGTTGCCAGATGGCTGAGATCTGGGGGAGCCCTGCAAGTCCTCAGTTAACCGGCCCTGCCCCTTATGGAAATGGCTAGAATTCCTGCGGCCAAGGCTCTTTCCGAAAGGCCCAGCTGGGAGCACCAGCGCCACCTGACGGCCAAGGGTGAGAATGCCATCTGGGTTCACAGCCTCACAGAGGGACCCTGGAGGCCCTGGAGGCCCAGGAGGCGGGAAACCTGCTCTGGGTCCCCTGGCTGCTGCATTGTGAGGCCTGGATCATTCAAGGCCAGGCCTACCCAACAGGTTCCAACTAGCTCCAAACGGCCTCCAGTGACTTGAAGGGAGGGTGAGGGCCAGCCAACCCCTTCCTCCTGGGGCCCCAGCCCTCACCATCATGGGCCAGCACAAGCCCTGCCACTTGTCGTTCAGCTGCATGGCATCAGCAAAGAGGAAGCAGAGGGCCAGCAGGAACTCCAGCAGGGGCGCCGTGAGGAAGGCAGATGCTGAGGACGCCACATAGCAGACGAAGATGATGAACGAGAGACCCTGGGAGGCGAGGGAGGGAGAGGTCAGGGGCTGTGCACAGCCCCACCCGGCAGGCAGGAAGAGAGGTGGCTTCAGCAGGGAGTGACCTGCCCAGCTCTGCAGCCGTAGGGTTAGAACCCACACGGTGCTGCCCCCAGTGCCTCTGGGCATGGCCCTGCACCCCGACTCGGGCTAGCTCCCGACCAGGACCCAGTGAGGAAGCCCCAGCCTCTCACGGCGTCCAGTCCCCCTGAAGGCTACCTCCCCGCCACCCACCTTTGAGGCTCTGTGGCAGAATCCACCCAACCCAGATGGTGCTCCACAGGGGAGAATCAAACCTATGCCCTCTCAAAGGCAGTCAACTGAGCAAGAGCCAGTTTCTGAAAATTACACCCCAAACTCAAGATCTGCTTTTCAATGAATGAAGAATTTACATGAAAAACAGGACACAAATCTGGCATTTTAGTTAATAATATGCCTGCTGAAGTATTCAAGAATTGAAACGTACCAATGTCTGCAATTTACTTTGGATGCACCAAAAATAAAATGGATTGGACTCCTCTGGTGGTACAGTGGGTAAGAATCTGCCTGCCAAAGCCGGGGACACTGGTTCGACCAGCGTATTCCTGGGCTTCCCTTGTGGTTCAGCTGGTAAAGAATCTGCCTGCAATATGGGAGATCTGGGTTCGATCCCTACGTTGGGAAGATACCCTGGAGAAGGTAACAGCTACCCACTCTAGTATTCTGGCCTGGAGAATGCCATGGACTGTATAGTCCATGGGGTCGCAAAGAGTCAGCCAGGTTGCAAAGAGATATGAGAGAAAGTAAGTAGCAAATAAGGCAATGTGTTACCAACTGTATAATTGGTGGGCATATGTTTTTGCTGTATATTTTCAAATTTTCATAATAAGGAATAAACATCCAGAGGGAGAGGGAGTGGTAACACTGACACTGCATGGCCTGCTGCATCACTGGTTCAGCCTTTGTGAAAGGAGGGGCAAGGTGTCATGAGGAACTGACTGAGAATGAGATGTTCGCTGCAGCCTTTGCAACTGGTGCTGGAGGATGCCGAGGCCCGTTAGCTCTGCAGACCATGCCCTGGGAAGTGCAGACGGGGTTGATGGGGCTGTTCACAGGGCCAGGGCCTGACGAGGCTTGTGAGAGCTCCTCACCACCACCCGTGCATCCAGTGCTGTTCACAGCCCACTTTGCAGATGAAAAGAGTGAGGTTCAGAGAGATGAAGTGGCTTGCTCATTGTCATACAGCTAATAAAAGGGCATCAGAATTTGAACTCTGGTCTGGCTGACTCCACGTGTGGAGTTTTTAAGCAATCCTGCTCCGTGGTTGCTGGCTCTTTTCCATCCTGCTTTCGGTCACTCTGGCTGTGTTTGAGCACATCCATGGCTGAGTAGCTCAGAGCGGGGTCTGGGGGGCTCGGTAGGGATGGCACCCAGATGCCCCTCAGGGGGCACCATGGTGACTTCAGATGAAAGCTGCGGAACACGGGCGTCTGCTCTGAACATGACAATGGAGGTAGCTGAGCCCAGCTTGAACAGATGGGAAACTAAGGCACAGAGATGTGTTGAGAGGCTGCTGGGGCCTCCCAAGAACACAAGGCCATGGGACCCTGGCCCAACCCTATCCTCTACTTCCTGTGCCAAAGGCTGTTATCTGTGGCCCTCATTTTCCTTTCCCCTCCCCCCAGAGCCTGATTCTGGGGATCCCCCTTTTGATTCTGTTCCTCATTCCCTGGATCCCTGGTGGCAACTTCCTCCTCCTTCCTGCCCATGTCAGCCTCCCACTTGCTTGGGCCTGGGGGCAGCCGGAGGTGACCTGAGGAGGCAGGAGTGATCTCAACTGGCTCCCCTTGCCTCTTCAGTGCCCATCCCTCATCCGTCCTTCCTCCCCTCTTCATCCACCTGGACCTAGGATCTTGGTGCCCAGTTTTGCCAAGGGTCTCCTCTACGCTCTGGCCATCTCTCCTCAACCATGAGAAGGGTCTGAGCCGGGTGTGTTTGGGGTCCCCTCAGTGGGCCGTGGACTCAAGGCTTCTCTCCACAAATGTGGCTCCTATCAGTCTGCAAAGTGGCCAACCAGGAGGTGACTCCCAGTAGTGTGAGCTGAGTCCACGATTGGGGTGCCTCATGTGGGGAGTTGGACAGGTGCTGGCCTTGTGACCTCTGAGCTGACCCCAGAGGCAGAGGAGGTGGTAGGACTGACGCCTGCCATCTGACCCCTGAGAGCCCAAAGGAGAGGTGGGGACAGAGTCCTCCTCCCTCTGATCCCTCCTGTTCTCAACCATGCTGTCACCTGACTCGCAACTGATCTAGGTCAAATCCCCTAGACGCTGGGGCCTCAGCTTTCCCATCTGCAAAGTGGGAATAATGACAGGGGTTATCAAATTGCTGGAGATCCAAGTAACAAGTGTGTCTGTCTCATCCCGCCTCCCAGCTAGGCGTCTTCCTTCCCTCCCCTCCACGGAGGCCCAGCTCCAACCCCCAACCCCACAGGCCGACAGTGCGAGGGGTTTTCAGAGTGTCCCAAAGACAAAGGGCTGACGTGCCTGGGTGGGGGGTGCGGGAAGAAGGAAGGAGCTCAGCGGGGGTGGGACGGCTGGGGCTGGGTCCCAACGAGGGCTGGCAAGGGGCGGGGGATGAAGTCATCCCCCCCCCCGCCGCCCCCCCGCAGTCTGGGTGGGGGTAGGCTCCTGCGCGCCCCCCAACCTTGTGGCCCGGGCCGCACCCAATCCCGGGGGGTACCCCCTCCCGGCTGGCGGGACTCCACTCTGGCTTCCGCCCAGCAGCTCGAGGCCAGGCCGGTCCTCCCTGCGCCCCAGGAAGTGAGCCAAGGAGCAGTGGGCCCACCCTGGGTCGCAAAGGGCCGATGCCTCCCGGACCCCGCCGGGGCGTGGCGGGAGGTTTTGCGGAGCGGGGTGCCTGTGAGGGAGGCCTGAAGATGCGGGGATGCAGCCCGTCCCAGGGGCTCAGAGAAGGCGGAGGCGCCGGAGGTCACACAGCGCCGGGCTGGGTTCCCCGGGGTCCGGCCACCGAGTCGGTGAGCCCCCTCCCCGGGCTCCCCTGCGGCCCCCGCATCGCCTGCGACCGGCGCGCGGCTCAAGCTTCAGCGAGCCCATCCCAAACGGGAGAAGTTTGCCCAACTCAGCCTAACTCTGCGGGGCTGCAGGAGGGGGCGGCCCCCGGGGGCTGGGCTCCGCCTGGAGGGGGGCCGTGGGCGCCGCACTCACCGTCTCCGCCAGCAGGAGGCGGCCTTTGAGCGAGCAGAGGAAGTCGCGCGCCGGCAGGAGGGCGCGGAGCCCGGGAAGGGCCGCGCTGGGCTGGGAGCGGCCCGCGGGCTCGGGGTCCGGGTCGGGCTCCGGGTCTGGGGGCCACATGGCGGCGGCGGCGGCGGCCGATGCTGAGACTCGGCCTCGCTCCCTCTCACCCTCGCTCCCTCTCACCCTGCGCTCGGGAGGGAAGCGGAAACCCCGACTGTGCGGAAGGAGAGCGGGGCCAGACTCGCAAGGCGCGGGGGCGCATCCCTGCCGCTCCGCCCCCGCCCCGCCCCTCCTCCCTTCCTGTGCGCTCCTCGCCTCCTCGCCTGCAGCCGTCCTCCCTGAGTCCTGCCCCCTCCTCTCCTCTCTCCCCTCTTCCGCCCGCCTTCCTCCTCCTCCGCCCCTCCTACCCCTCGGACCTCAGCTGCCCGCACTCCTGCAGCCCGCGCTGGCAGGGGGCTTCCTCAGACCCCGCCTTCTCCCCTCACCCCTGTCCTGGCAGCCGGAGACCTTCTTATTGCCGCCCCCAACTCTCTGTCGGAGCTCTCAAACCACCCCTCCTTGCCCAGAAGATGGTCGGCTTTCGCTGTCTCCCGTCTAACTTCCTGCCCATGCGTGCTGGGGACCCAGGAACTTAGGCCTTCAAAGAGAGAGACTACTCTCTTGTCTTCCTGCGGCTTTGACCCCCGCGGTCAGCTCCCTGCCCCACTCCCTCTCTCTCTCCGCTGGCCACCCCACCCCTCTTTGGCCTGCCCAGCCTCCTGGAGTTTCTTCCTTGGCTGCCCCAGCCCTGGATTCGGCACCCCCCCCCCTCCCCCCGGCCCCCACGCATCTTCATCCTGGGAGGACTCCATACTTAGACCTCGGAGCCCCAGCCCCTTCACAGCACACACACATGTCTCCATGGAGTTCAGTGTGACCAAAACCCCGCCCAAGACATTCTTAATACGCCTGAGCCTCTGCAATGGGCTGTGCCAATTGCCCTTCTACCCCTAAGAGCCAGTGACCCGCCCATCTTCACCTCCTAAAGCTTTCTTGTATGTCTGTCCATGTTTTAACCACCACAGCCTCCACTAGACTTCAGACAACACCTGTCTTCTTCCTGGACTGTTGTGAGGGTGTCTTTTCTTTTTTAGTTTTTTGGCATGTGGGATCTTAGTTCCACACCCAGGGATTAAACCCTCACCGCCTGCATTGGAAAACAGCCTTAACCGCTGGACCACCAGGGAAGTCCTGTGAGGGTGCCTATAGGGGGCCTCTCTGCTTTCTCTCTTTGGAGACAGAGGGATGCTTAAGTCATCCATCACAGTTGCTTCCATGTCCTCACCTGCAAAGACCTTGATAGCTTCCCATCTTGCTTGGGGTCTTGGTATAGAGTTAAAACAGCCCTTGCTACCCTTTCCTCTGTCTCTCCCACCTGTAGAGCTGATTATCTCCTCCATGCTGTTTCTTGCAAAGGAATCTTTGTAAATGCTGACCCCTCTGCCTGGAATCAGATAACAAAGAAGAGAAATGTTATCTGATTAACTCTTTATTCTTCTGTGATCATAACCACATTGTCACTGTCTCAAAGGAGACTTCTGGACCTTCCCAGCTAGGTAAGAGTCATTGAATCATTTATTTATTCATTCCACACCAGTGCTAGAAGCCCAAGAGGCAGGGAAACCCCAGATTTGTTTGAGGGGGGAGGGTGGGTGGGTAAAGGTGTCCAGAGAATCCTGAGTAAGATGATTCTTGGTAATAAACGAGTGGCTGGTTCAAAGTGCAGCCAAGCAGCCTGTGTGGAAGAAAGGACTGAGCTAAGAGCTGGGGGGAGAAGATGAATCAGACAAGAGGAGGAGCCAGACTGTAGAAGACCAGGCCTTGGGGTTTAGATTTTACTCCAAGTTCTCTGGGAGGTGGTCAGGTGAAGATTAGAGAAATGAACTTATTTATGAAACAGAAAAGACTCAGACATAGAGAACAGGCTGGTGGTTGTCAAGGGGGTGGAGGAGAGATGGATTGGGAGGTTGGGATTATCTGATGCAAACTATTATATATAGAATAAATAAACAAGAAGGTCCAACTGTATAGCACAGAGAACTATATTCAATATCCTTTAATAAAGTATAATGGAAAATAATATGGAAAAAATATATATGCCTGTATAACTGAATCACTTTCCTGTACAGCAGAAAAACATTGTAAATTAGCTTTATTCAATTAAATAAAAAATTAAAAAAAAAAGTTAAACAGAGATCTACCATATGACCCAGCCATTTACCCAAGAGAAATGAAAGCATACATCTCTACAAAGGCTTGTAGACGGATGTTTGTGGTAAGCCTATTTTTAATAGCTCCCACTGGAAATCACCCATGGTCCATCAGCAGGTAAAGGAGTAAACTAACCATGGGATGTTTATGCAATGGCACACTTCTCAGCAATAAAAAGAAATAAATGATTGACACATGCAGCAACAGGGATGCATTTTGCAAATATTGTGTTGAATTAAGAAAGTCAGACCCAAAGGGATGATAATTTTGAATCCATTTTTGTGAAATTTTAGTACAGATGAAACGAACCTATGGTGACAAAAGTCAGATCTGTGGTTACCTGGGGGCATGAGGAAGCTTTCTGGGTGCTGGAAATATTCTTTATTTTGACTGGGGCGATGGTTTTACAGGAACTTATATTTGTCAAAACACACCAAACTGGACACTTAAAATGGGCGCATAGGATTTCATGTAACTTATATCTCTTATACTGAAGGGGTTCTGAGGAAAAAGAAAATATAGGGACTGAGTAGATTGGCTGAGACGGCCCACGAGAGGGCAAGCAGAGACAGGTGGGTGCCCTTGCGTGGGGTGACCTGTGACCACTGTGCATCCCCTGGCAGGCTCTGAGCTTCCCAGGGGCCTGTCATCATGGTCTGCCCCCTCCCAGAACCCGTCACACGGGATGCACTAAGAAATGTCAGCTGTTGAATGAAGTGGGGTGGCCCTTCTCCTTTTATATTTGTTGTGTAAGGAATATTTTCTCCTTCCCTTATTTATCTTAACTTATTCTTCAGGTTATAATTAAACACCATCATGTTTAATTTTGTTGGTTACACAGTTCCATCTTTGGCCATTAGGACCTGTCTCCTTCAGGTGGGAGCCTCTATATCTAACGTGCCCCATGTACTTTCCCCTCTACTTCTTCTTTTCTTGGGGTGGGGGGGGCATGTTGAGAAGCATGTGGATCTTAGCTCCCCCGCCAGGGATCTAAGCTGCAGTGCCCCCTGCAGTGAAAGTGTGAAGTCCTAAGCACTGAACTGTCAGGGAAGTCCCATCCATGTTCTTATTTCTTGATGCTATAAGATGCTTCGGGTTTTGCAAAGCATAAAAAAAAAAAAAAAAAAAAAAAAAAGATGCTTCGGGTTCATTTTATATTCTCCCCATCCCAATCCTAGGATCAACTGTTCTTCTAAGAAGCTAAAAGTGCTTTTTAGTGGAGAATGGTGTTTAGCAACCGAGATCTCTTGGGACAGTCTTAATTTGCATTTCTCTAGTTATGAGTGGATCAAACTTGAGTTTTTTACATGTGGAAGAGCCACTTGCATTTCCTTTTCTGAGAACCAACTTTACACATCCTTTGCATATTTTTCTATTAATTACTGGTTTAAAAAATTGATGTCTAAGAGTGTATATATTCAGGAAATTAATCTTGAATGTTAGTTATGAGTATTTTTTCTGGTTTGTCAATTGTCTTTTACTTGGCTTTTTTGCCACACAGGTTGTTTTTCCTTTAGAACCTGCTGTTTTTCTCCCTGAATCTATAAACGTAGTGAATGACAGTATTAGGCTTCCTGATGCTCACCATCTTTACATCTGTGTAATGTGCCTTTCTTAGTCATGGTGTTTTTCCTCTTTTGATATGCTGCTGGATTCACTTTATTAGTACTTTACTTGGGATTTTGGCCAATTTTTCATAAATAGAATTGACCTCTAATTTTTGTTTCATTTTATTTTTTGTGCTATCCTTTATTTTGCTTGATGAAGAGATTTAAAGCTGTAATTTTTCTCTGAGAATAACTTCAGATACATCCCCAAAATGTTGCTCTAGTTTTCAATCCATTTCCAGCTAGCTGGTTGTTTCAATTTCAAGTTCTTCTTTAATCCAAGAATAACTTTTAAAAGGTGTTTTTAATGAGATAAATTTTGGACTGTACTTTGTGGTTAGTTTCTAATTTTATTTATTTTATTTAGAGACTAGTTCTATATGTTCTGCTTTTTATAATTTGTATTTGTGTCCTAATAAATAGTCAGTTTTTGTACATGTTCCATGAGTATTTATTTTTTATTTTATTTTATTTTTTTTTGAATCCTAAGCATCTTTACTAGAAGACCAAAAGCAAAAGCTCAAGACCCAGGCAGAGTTTTAAGGAAGCCTTTCAATGTGGCCAGGCCCCTGCATCAGGATCATTACATCCATGCCGACTACAGCTCTGCCAGCCTGGGCAGTGAGGAGGAAGGAACCTGGGAGCCAGCAGGCAGACTGCTGTGGATGGGCAGGGGTGGTGAGCGATGACTGCCCATGGCCTGGGGTCTGCACAGAGCAGTAGGAACTGAGGTGGGGCGGGCTGCTTCAGGAGACTTTAATGTGGTTCCTTTCTGAAAGTGCTTCCTTAAAGGCAAATTAAGGATTTCTTTTNAGGGATAAAGTGCTGAGTTCACTCTTCTCTGAAGAATACCTGTGTCAGGCCTATGTTAATGTACCCTGAATTCATTTACTACAAGCCTAACAGCTGTCCCTTGTGCCAGAATCCCCTTTAATGCACCCTGCTGGGCAGAAGTCACCCGTGTCTATTCTAAACTCTACTGATATTAAAGCAAGACGTCCACTGGGGGCTGGTTTCGGAAGGGCTGTTGAGGAGGCCCTGGAGCGGGGCTCTCTGTTGAACAGACTTACTTGTTGAGCGATTTCGGGGGAAACTGGAATTCTCCGTAGGAGATGGTGTCCACCGCGTTTAAGGCCACCCTGACCACCTGCTGGCACTGCAGGCTGATGAAGTCGTATTTGCAGATGAGGAGCGCCTGGTCGGTGATGAGTACCAGTCGCTCCTTTTCGTTGTTCCAGTGATCAATCTCGGTCAGCAGCCACATCCCCTGGATGTCTCCGTCCTCCACCGGCCGGACCACTACGCGGATCTCCTCCACCGCCTGCTTGATGGTGCCGGGCCGGAACACGAAATACTCCTTGACGCGGGCGCGGCGTGTGGGGTCGTGG